TTTTTTTTTTGGTCTAGCTTTTTAAATGCCTCAATCCTTCTTTAACATATAGTAAAAAGCTATGTAATCAGCTATTATAAAAGGGCTTTTAATAGCAAAGTTTATATTCTAGAAAATATATTAAAAAACCAATGGAGAGAGGTAGCTTTTACTTGGATTCAATCCAAGTCGCTGGAGCCTGATTTATAAAAAGAGATCCAACTGGGGTTTTCCTCTACTCGTTTTCAGTGCTAATCGTCTCTAGTGCTGTGTTTAATATGCAGTCATTGTAGCTTTTCCTTTGTAGATGTGCCAGTGACAAACACAGCTGTGTGAAGACTAAACACAATGAGATGATGACCATTTACTTTACCAGTGGAACAACTGGGCTGCCTAAGATGGTTGGACACACCTACAGCAGTTTTGGTTTAGGATTATCTGTGAATGGAAGGTACTTCCACAGAAATGTAGCTTCAGGTGCTAAAAGTACAAAGAGAATGAATTGCGTATTGGCTTTTTAAATGTCTTCCTCCAAATTTAGCAGATTTATACATACATTTATACACGTCAAATTCCTACAAAGCTACATATCTGTACATCAGGGTTATTCTGTTTCCCCAGGTACTGGCTGGATTTGACACCTTTGGATGTGATGTGGAATACCTCAGACACAGGCTGGGCAAAGTCTGCATGGAGTAGTGTTTTTTCTCCATGGATCCAAGGAGCCTGTGTGTTTGCACATTATCTGCCCCGTTTTGAACCAACTTCCATCTTACAAGTAAGGCAGAGCACAGAAGCTCCATATTTAGAAACACATTAGTAGTGTCCCTGAAAAGCTTGTTGAATAAAGTAACTCACAGATCAGAAGAGATGACATGATTTAAGACATTTCACATCTAGGAAGTCAATAAGGCTGAAAAGACATTTAAAAATGTGTGTAGTTACATTAAAATAAGCAATGTTTATATTCTGCTGTACCTATCTCAGATGTTTAAACACTTATTAAAGTTGTAGGAAGATCAAGAGTCTGCTTTTTCTAAATTGCAGACACTCTCCAAGTATCCCATCACTGTCTTTTGTTCAGCACCAACTGCGTACGGAATGCTTATACAGAATGACATGAAAAGGTAAGAAATGTTAGTAAACAAGCATTTTGTATGGGAAGGGAGAGGAAGAGGAAGACAGAAAGTGAAAGAACTTTTGGCCTAAAAGCAGAGCTCCTGACTAGTAGGTGCAGGATTTCTTTTCTTTTCTTTCCTCTTGCTGATATGCTGGAAGTGAGGGTTCCTGTGTCCAGGACAAGCTCCCCCAGGCAAGGAGAGGAAAGGGAGTGTTCAGACACATGTAGATCTGAGCCCAGTGGTTAGGGGTAGGAAGGTATTTAATCTTTTGGATGATGGCTGCTACCCTTCCTGAGACAGGAGAAAAGTTGCTTAGGGGGCTGGGGATTTAGCTCAGTGGTTCCGGCGCCTGCCTCACAAGCACAAAGTCCGGACTTCAATCCCTGGTACCCCCCACGCCCCAAAGTTGCTTAGAACCTTATCTCAGCAAATGGAAAAAAGGATGCATGATTTAAAATTTATTACTGTTTTCATTTTAAAGGGTGAACTGGTAATCTGAACAGAAAAAGTTTTACTGTACTTAGCACCCTCAATATTACCAGTCTCTGTGAGGGAATTTTTAGTTGCTGATTTAAGACGTTATTATGAGGTATCTTCCCTAAAGACAGCATGGCTTTTCTTTGTGACAAAGTACCACCCCCAACACACTAAAAAAAAAAAAA